TAGGGGAGAGCCTATGAAAGTGCAGTGTCCTGGCCAAATTAGCCGGTAAACTCTATCACTCAATATGAAAATATGTAATTCCTACATTATCAGTTGCTGGAGTATGTCATGCTTGGCAGGCTCCTGGGTTTGGGCAGAGGAAGTGAAACCTAGTCATTTAGGATGAGATTTATAGGAGATCTGCTATTGCAGGAAGCGCTGAAAAGTTGATTGATAGTTTAAGACAAACTATAGCAAGAAACAGGATATATGCTCTCCATGTATACCTGGGATTTCCCCCTCTCTACATTTCAGGCTCTTTTTGCATTTTGTTTTGGCTGTTTCATGAGGCTTTAGATTCCTCTCCTTCCCCAGACTCAGACACCAAATGCAAAATGACTGAGGGCATTCTAATTTCGGCCTAGCCTTGGTCAAGGATGTATTTTCAGCTGTGACTATAACTCTTTCACATAAGTTACAGTTACTGTAACTTGTCAGCAATGTTCCTTTAAAAAAGAAAAGTCCTCGGGGCTGGGAATTTAGCTCAGCAGCATAAATGTGCCTGCCTTGTAAGTGCGCAGTCAAGAGTTCAATCCCTGGTACCAATTAAAAAAAAAAAAAGTCCTCCAAATAGGATATTATTTCACAAATGCAAAAATAATGAAAACCCTTTTTAAAAAATTTACCTGGTAAGATTACATTTCTAGTATTTTCTAAGAAAAATTTGTTTGGTGCATAACTTTATTAAAATATAACTTGTTGCTGAGTGTTGAAGCAGGTCTTCACATATGCTAAACAGGCTCTCTACCACTAAGCCATATCACCAGCCCCATGGTCACAAAAATAATTGAAATTTTTTCCTCTAGTTAAAGCTGCATTCAGTGTTGCTGTGCTAAAGGTATTAGTCACATGTCTTTGAGACTTCTAGGCCTTATGTAAGTCAAGACTTGCTCATTTGGAAAATACTGAAGTTCACACTGGGGAAAAGTGAAGACCGTGGCCTTATGAAACAGAACGTCGCTGGTCCTGGGTGTGGTGGGAGGCCCTGTGGTAGAGGGGAAGAGCTCAAGGCCTGCAGTCCGTGTTGCCCTGGTTGCTGGGACCTGCCGCAGCACTTTTACCTCCCGCCCTCTCCCCAGCTTCTGCTTTCTCACCTGTAACAGGGAGAATGCTGAAACCCATTGACCAGGTGGGTATTGGGACCAAACACAATGATGCTTGTGGAACATTGTTTTAATCAACTTTCCATCACCATAATAAAACTCCTGAAATAAACAGCTTTTAAGGGGGGGAGGGTTTTTTGGCTCACAGTCCGTGATCACTTGAATGTGTTGCCGTGGCCTGTAGCAGTCCAGACATCATGGTGGGGTTGTGTGGCAGGAATTGCCTGTTTTCTTCATAGCGTTCTGAAAAGAGAGAGAGAAACACAGGGAGGGGAAGGACATAGGGTCCCCAAACCCCCTTACCCCCTTCAAGGGCACATCGCACTGCTCATTTCTTTCATAAGGCCCAATCTAGAAGTCCCTCTGTTTCCCAAGCAGTCAACAAACAGGTCTTTGGGGAACATTCCAGATCTAGTCAAGATTCTTACATTGTGTTTTGTGGATTTTTGAAAATAGTAACAAAGTGGGATATATGGTCATAGAAGTAAAAACTTTTACCTTTTTATTTCTAATGTTGCAGTTTAATAAGAGGCAGAACCCTCTTTCTGAAGCTGGTCATTTTTTTATCCATGAGAGCTACATGTCCCTACCCAGAGAGCATTCCCTTCCGGTCAGAAGTATGGTGGGAAACCAGTTCCCGGGCTGTCTAGGCCTTGGGCGTGAGATGGTTTCTTTTTGTTTTGGGGGATTTTTTTTTTTTTTTTTTTTTTGGTACCGGGAATTGAGTTCTGGACCTTGTACTTGCCAGGCAGCTGCTTATGTCCTGAGCTGTATCCCTGGCCCAAGTCATGAGGTGTTTTAAACTTAATCTCCACCTCTGTCTGGTAGTTAAAATTTCAGAATAAATGGTAGATATAACCAACAGTAATCAGATGGATACAAATGGTATGATATTCGTCTTACTCCAGCTATATATACTTTAAAATGCCTCAGACTGACAGAAATTCTCCCTGTGCTGGATCACTGCTGGACTCCACCTGATCTTACTCTTCACTGCAGCCACCTTCTTTTTCTGAAGCTTCCTGAAATGCCAGCGCTGGCACCCACAGCTTTCCTTGCATAAGGGAAAGTTGCCTGTCAGTGCTGGTACTGTCCTTGTGCCATTCCCCTGGCTCTGCCTGTCTCCCATTCTTGGATGCCACAGTGGTGTTTCCATATCCTCATTACCCGGGGAAGGGCAGTGGGGGAGAGGAGGCGACATGGCACAGCTCACTCTTAGCCATTTAAGAAACCAGGGCTCAGATACAGGCAGGCACACAGGTGGCAAATACCATCTTCGTTCAGTGTTCCTCTGCACCATCCGTTCACATCAGCCCTGCCAGAGTGAAGCCAGGTCCTCCAATATGATGAGATAGCGCACAGTGTTGCTAGTGAATTTATCCTGTGAACACCCTTACCGAGTTCTCAGAGCCACTCACTGCTTTGTACAATCATTTAATTTTTGGACTTAGGGAAACATGAAGGCTTGTCAGCATGTTTATATTTTCATATTAACTATGTGTTTTGCATTTGTCACATCCGATTTTCCTCTTTAGCATAGTAAAAGGGCAGTCTTTGGAGGAGTGCAATCTGTATTAGGTTGGTTCTTTTTGAACAAAAACAATTCAGTGCATCCAAGTCAATGAAAAAATTTACCTGTCTAATGTAATATTACAAACTTCACAGATAAGTTAGAGAAAAAAGTTCTCTGAAGCAGTTCATAATGCTTTCTGGTACTGCTTTTATTTGGTTGGTTTTCTCTTATTTGTACATTTTTAAATAGTGAGCAAATATTACATTCACATGGGTTTAAGAAAACAGTATACAGCTGAGCTTGATGATGCACACCTGTAATCCCAGAACACTGGGAGGCTGAGACAGGATAGCAAATTCAAGCAAAGACTTAGCCCCTCAGTGAGACTCTGTCTCAAAAAAAAAAAAAAAAAGAAAAAATTGAAAGAGCTAGAGATTAGCTCAGTGCAGATGCCCTTGGTTCAATCCCCAGAATCACCAAAAGGAGAATGAGGAAAACCAGTAACAGATCCAACAGTGTGCAGTGAAAAAGCTCCTCTGTATTTTCTATCTTTCTAGGCCTACCCCTCTATATAAGTTACTGTTTTCTGTCACTTTCCAGCATTTATTGGTATGTCTTAGTCACTTTTCTTCTTGTTGAGACAAAATACCTGACACCCACAAGTAAAGGAGCAAAAGTTTATTGTAGCTCACAGGTTGTAGAAATTTTAGTTCATAGTTGTTGACTGGCTTCAAGGCAGGGTGACCTGGCAGAGGGGCATCACAGAGGAGAAACAGTTCATGGCAAGCAGGTAGGAGGCAGCAAGCAGCAGGCCTCCCTTCTTCTCCCTTTAAATTCCACCCAGGCTCTCAACCTATTGACCCCCAGCCAGGGTGAGGGGTTCCATTATCCATACCCAGAACTATGCTAAACCAATCAGTGTACTAATTTAGAACCACACACCTTAAACCCAGCCAGGTCTGAAAAGCCCACCTATGAGTGCGTAACACTGGGGAGGGGGGTAGCATCTAGACACAAGCCGTGGCAGATACATATCAGAAAAGCAAATACGCTACTGTACCTGTCCTTTTTAAAAAACTTACTCTATAGCAGAGGTGGCAGATATGCATGGTGTGCCTTTGCTGTTATTAACCAGCGCTCATAATTGGTCTGTGGAAAGCTATAGGCCCTGCTCAACTGAAGACCTTCTTTTGTATGGACTTGCCATGATTTATTTAACCAGTCTCATATCAGGGGCCTTCGGTTGTCTCCCATTTGAAGGTATTAGAAATAATGTCACAGCAGGTAACCTCAGGCCCATGCCATGTAGCATATATGGTACATGTGTTTAATTTTCAGACATGCATCTGCTGGGCAGTGATACAGACGTCTTCAATTCTGAAAAGTATTACCAAGTTTTCTGTTGTGGCGGTTGTGATTTAGTCTCCCTCCAAAAGCATATGAAAGCTCCTTAAGCACCTTTCTCCTCAGACCTTGTCAAAAAGAATGCTATCAAATGTTTGGATGTAAGTAGATCTGTGATCCGATCAATGAAAAGTGTATCCCAATGACTATTTATTTATTTATTTATTTACTTGGTACTGGAGATCGAACTCACGACCTCACACTCGCCAGGCAGGCACTTAAGCCACCGAGCTAAATCCCCAGCCCAATGACTTTAATATGTGTTTCTCTCTCTTTTATTTTCTGGTGTTTTGAAACAGGGTTTCACTATATAGTTCGGGCTGGCCTTGAACTCTATGTAACATAGACTGGTCTTAAACTCATGGCAATCCTGCCTCGGTCTCCTAAGATTACAAATGTGTGCCCCCATATCTGGCTCTGTATTTCTGTTATTTGAAGTTAAACATCATGTGTTTAAAATACATCATTTGTGTTTCCTTTTATGACAGTTATCTGCTTGTATCATTCATTTTTCTGTTAGAATGTTATATCAGTTTCTAGGAATTCTGTCAGGGAACTAAACCATGGCCTGTGACATGAATTCTAAATGTTTTTTGTTGATTTTGTATTGACCTTACTTATGATGGTTTTTGTTTTCCCATGCAGAAGTTGTTGGTTTCTATTTAGTTGAATTTATTAAACTTTTCTTTTGTAGCTTCTGTATTTTGAGCCGTAGATAGGCTTTCCTCATGCTAAAATAATAAAGAAAATCTAGGTGGTTTCCTCATCATGCTTTAAGAGTCATGTTTTAAAACATACTACATATCTTTGATTGGGGGGAGGGATTTATCCTGGTGTGCCATTTGAAGTATAGATTCAGTTTTATTTATTTGTTTTTACTCTGTTGCTCCTAGACTAATTAATGAATAGTACTAATATTTCTTCTTAAAATAATTTTCAAGGTCTAAAAAATTGAGCAGTCTTGCCAAAGCCTTAAAAGAAGTCTCTCTCGCCAAGACCCAGCTGGGGTTAGAGCTGGAAGAGCTAGAAGCAGCAGCCCTTCTCGTCCAGGAGGAGGAAACCACTGGAAACACCGCCTGTTCTGTGTCCACACAAACTCGTAGCTCCAGTCTTGAGGCAAGTGACTCAGAGGCATCGGAATCGGAATCAGAATCGGAATCGGAATCGGAATCAGACAGCACTGCGTCATCATCATCATCATCATCAGGCACTGAAGACTCTGCTTCAGAGCATGAGTTGCTCAGCGGGAGCCCGTCTGCACCTGTGACTTCTCTGCAAGGCCCCCTTCTCCAAGGGAGCAGCACCCTGCTGGCCAGGGATGGTGCAGCCCGCGTACATACCACTGGTCAGACAAAGCCCCAGGCCTTAATCCAGGCTTCTGGGGCCTGCAGACCTCTGATAGAGGAGCTTGGGGAGCAGCTGGAGACTGTACTTCAGGTGTCCCAACCTGAGGGCGCCATTGCTGGGAGCCACAGCAGTGTGCAGGACAGAGAGGGGGCTGCAGATGCCAAATGAGTGACTCACACGGTTTTGTTTCAATTAGATCAGCTGTGGTTTCAGCTGCTGAATTAGAACTCATTTTTCCTCTGTGCTTTTTTCTTTTTTTATGTAACATCATTTTATAGTTTGTAGTTGTAGTATGTTTATACCTTTTGGTTTCCTTGTTATAACCTGTAAAATACAGATCTAATGTACTTTTTCCAAGTGCATCTGATACTTAAGATGAAAATAACAGTTCTGCCAGAATCTGTAGACTGTAGAGATTAATATGACCTCACTAATATTTTTATTTTAGCTTTATGAAGGTGTTCGTGATATATTGGAGAGTGGTCATACTTGAAATGTGTAATGTGATAAGTATTGACATATGACTACAGCAAGTGAAACCACCTCCAAAGCCAGGGTAATGAGCTTTCCCCATCACCCCCAGGTGTCTTTGTATCCCTTTGTTATCCTCCCCCCCCGCCCCACCTGGCCAGACGCCACCCACCTACATCCCAGGCAACCATTGAATGGCTTTCTGTCACTATATAGTAGTTTGCATTTCCTAGAATCTTATATAGATTGAATTGGGAAATCTGTACTCTTTTTTTTAGATTAGGCTTACTTCACTCTATAAATATTTTGAGATTGATGCACATCAAGGGTTCTTTTGTTTTCCTAGTCAAATACTATTTCAGTGAGTAGATTTACCCATTCACCTGCTGATGGGTATTTGTTATTTCCAGTTTAGAGCTGTTACAAATAAAGCTGTTACAGAATTTTGTGTATAAGTCTTTGTGTGGACATGCGCTTTCCATGCTGTAAGGTAAATATCTGGAAGTGTAATGGTTGGGCCACACGGTAGGTTTTTATATATATGTGTGTGTGTGTGTGTGTGTGTAACATTTTAAAAAGCTGCAAGGCAAGGCGTGGTGGCACACACCTGTAATCCCAGCACTGGGGGTAGGGAAGGGTCTAGAGTAGGGGGAACATTGTGAGTTCAAGGCCAACCTGGGCTACATAAGCAAATTCAAGGCCAGCCTGCACTACAGAGTCCCTGTCTCAATGAAATAAAACATTTTAAAAGCTGTAGAACTGGTTTCTCTCGTGACTGTATCAAGTCATATTGCACCAGCGGTGGGTGACAGTTCCAGTTCTTTCCCATGCTTGTTGTCACTTGGTGTAGTCTTTCGTCTTCACCATTCTACTGGTGTGTAGTGTTAGCTCATTGTGGTCTTGATTTGCATGTTCCTAATACTTACGATGATCTTTCATATGCTTATTTGCACCCACATATCTTCTTGAAGTATCTGTTTGAATATTCTGCCAATTTTGTTGTGAAAGTAGTTTGTTTTCTTATTTTTGAGTTTTGAGAGTTCTTTATAAAGTCTGGATGCAAGTCTCATTATGAATCATGTTTTCCTGCTTCTTTGTATGCCTGGTGGCCATTAAAACTCTAAATTTTATCTTGCTAGATATGTATTCCTACCCATCTCCTTGTTTTAAGTGCAGCTAAGTGACTTAAACTGGTTTGATCCTTGCAGGTCCTTGTTATGCAAGTTTAGAGTAGGTTCAGTTTATGGCATTTTAAATCAATGTTGACTTTCCTGAGTATTCTACCCAAACTCCAAGAAGGATGAGTTTTCCTGTCTGGTAATGGAAGTAGTGTTTCTTGTGTGTGTGCTGTTTTGACTTTTTATCTAGATGTCTCCCAAAAGTTTCATGCAGTATAGGTGGGGAGTTTCAAAGGTGAGTGGGTCTAGGGTATGTGATGCTGTTTAAGGATGCCTCACCCTGGGTATGGTTGGTCCCATTCAGTAGGTACCACTCACGGCCCGGCTAGAATTGAGGTGACTGAAGACCTCTGTTGCTTCTGCTTCTCCTGCTACTTTATTGCATTGTGGCCTTCTGCCCTCCATGAACTTTGTCTCCTCAGTGATGCCATCCCGCCTTAGTTCCAGCCAGCTATGGATCAAAACCTTTACAAACTGTAAGCCAAAATAAAACTTTCTTCCTTTAACTTTGGTTGTTGGGTATTTTCTCCTGGCAATGAGGAAAGTAATTAAGACAAAGTGCTGAGTGCTGTCCTTCTAATCCTGGCAGATGATCCCAGGCCTCATCACTAACCAGTCTCTTGAATACTTGAGGTGTATTCTTTCCTAACCCCAGATATCCCGGGTTCCCTGGGCACCTCTCCTCTCAGTAGCCTCTCCTGGTCCACAGTCACAGCTGCGTTGGTCTCTCCAAACCATCAGCTCTGTCTCTTGGACTCCAGAGTTCACTGGTTCTGCCTGGATTGTCCCTCCTGCTTCTGGGACCAGTCTTCCATCACTGAATGGTAAATGTCTTGAAAATCACTGTTTCATATATTGGTCCTGTTTGTCCTTTTTGGTTATGCTGGCCTGGAGAGTAAACTTGGCCCCTGTTCTTCCATCTTGACTGCAAGTGCATTTCCCCCCGAGTGTAAGCTCCTGGGAGGTGGCGTCTTGTTACCCCTGAATCATCAGTGCCATATTCTCCGCACTCTATGGTGTGCTCTGAATGAACAAATGAGATGAACCAATTTGCTTTGGCAGGAAATGAAATGAAATCTAATCTGCATTAATTGCAGCAGAATTTTTTATTTCAAGAATTTTTATTCCCTTTTACTTGGAGCTAAGACTGCAAGAATTTGTATTTCTTATATAAATTCCAGTTTGTAGTAACATGACCATTGGGGTGACTATGCCATTTGACGTGCATGTTAACTCCTAAATACTGTATCAGCTTGGTCACAATGTGCTCCAGACCTTGTTCGGGCTCCCTGGAGAACTTTGAAATTTCTATGACCATTGAAAATGCATTTCTCCTCAGTAATACATTACCTGCAGCCAGTTTCAAAAAGCATTATGTGTTACTCCAGTCATTTACCTCTACTAAAATCGAGCAAGTTGAGCAAATACACTCTTGTCTAAAAGTTTAAAGCCATGGAAAATTTCTTCCTTTCATCAATTTCTGTCCTAAGGAGTCTTGACAGAAGGTACTTCACCAAGACTTTTCTTGTAAAAATTCCTTTTCGCACAGAATGAGCAAATGTGATCCTCCCTGGATATCCTCAAAGCCAAGGGCTTTGAAACAGCTCTTAGGAGTATTGAAGGTGATGTGAGTGAATGCCTGCGCTTTAGACTCTACGTCCAGAGCAGATTTTACACCCTCTCTTTGTTCACAGGGGGCTAAAAGCTTTCTATCACATTACCCAGTCTTTGTCTAGTGTAGGCTGAGAACACCATTCTTCACTCCATCTGTAACCCAAAACACATCCAAAGGTACCGGCTTTTATTTTTTTTAAATAAGACAACCTGCCAGGCAACTTTAGGGATTTCCTATAACCACACATGCTTCTTTCCCAAGAACCCTAGATGATGAGAGAAAAATTTGGGGAAAGAACAAGGAGAGCCCAGTGCCCACTTAGTCACAGGTAAGCAGGAAGAGCCCAGGCTTTTAGTTTGACAGGACATACAGTCCCAGAGCTTGCTTCAGCTATGGCTGGCCCACCAGGGTCCCAAACCTTTGCTTTCATCTCAAGAATGAAGTAGAACTATAGTCACAAGTCGCTTGATGTGTCCTGAGACCTTGATGTCCTGAGAAACGCATCAGGTGATTTTCTGATTGTGTCGGCATCGTAGAGTATACTGGACCACCATCATGCATGCAATCTATTGATCAGATGTTATGCAGTGCCTGGCTGGAAGACTTTTATGTTCAAAACCCTTTGTAAACTGGAAAGAATTAAACCAAATAGGGTTATTATTGTCTGACTTTACAGAGCTGAACCGGGTGCTATTTAACTACCTACCAACAGGTCGCTGGGGGAAGCGCTCTGTGAAATGAGTCAGCCATGCTAATCGCTTCAGAGACAGGCTGCTGGTAAAAGTCTACACAGTTCAGCAGATTAGATAGAAATATTAATTATATCAATGAATCACAGCACTGCCTCATCTCGGTTTGCATTATCATTGACCTATTTTTCTGTGTTCTGTCTCTCCTCTCCCATTATCCTTGAAGAGTAATGTCGGGCCTTGCTGTGGGCATGGTTGGTTTTAGGTGCTGTAACTAAGCTGGTATCATCTTTCACTGGCACAAGATTAATTTACCTATGAGACAGGGCTGCTCCCTACCACATGCCAAATTGGTTGACGGCCAGGGGGTGGTTTTTACACCTGCTAATAAAAAATCCACTGTGGTTGTGTGGATCAGATTCTGTTACAAAGCACTGGAGAGAATAGAGACAAGGTCACATTTTCTTAGTCTGAAGACTGTAAGTTATTTTAAAATAGAAGGACTTCTGCATTTTTATTATAAAGAGATTTTTTGTTATAGCTGGAAATGGATTTCTATACTCAATAGTTTCAAGACAGACATCTCCAAAAGAAGAATTAGGTAATAACAATATAGGGATAAACCTATAAAACTATGCCAAATGTTTAGAATATGTTAATTATAAAGTCTCTTTTTGTGCTGCAGAAATCCCCAGATAAAATGATCTATCATTTAATGTCCTTGTCAGGAAAATTCAAGTTAAGCTTCATAAACATAAATCATTGTGACTGTTTGGTCAGGGGTCTCCATTAAAGCAAATCAAGGATGCAAATGTTTCTTTAATGTTGCTCCATCTAAATCCCTAGTGGAAGTTTTGTTTGTGATCCGTTCTGTGTCTTGCCTGTTTTCTGAGTGTGTTATATATAGTTTCAGCTAATACCAAATGAAGACAGCATTGATTAGACCTGATTTAAGGCAACAAGTGATAAATGCAGCTGGGAAATTGATTCATGTCTCTCAAGTGACTGGGGCACAGCCTTCTACAGTTGACACAACTCTTGTCTCAAGGCTGGAGAAAACAAACAGGGAAACACATGTCAAACAGATAAATGACTTCGCTGATTCCAGCTCTCCGTGGAGGCCATTTGTTTCCGAGATAAGGAAGACTGCTCTCCAAAGTCATGAAAAGATAAGCCAGAGGAAAAGGATGAATGTGAAACTAGATGTCCAAGCACTTGGAAAACAACAACAGGAGAAAAGATTGAGCCCTGAGCTGGATCTTGCAGCCCTCGGTGCAGACACGCTGTGAGCCGCACAATGAAAGCTCTGTCTCTGGTGTGCTGTTTTTTGCAGTATGCTTTGTCTTTGAAGATAAGTCCAGATACTACTTTTTGTGTGAATCTGTGTTGCTGGGATTCAACCCAGGACCTCACAAATGCTAGACAGCACTTAACCACTGAGCTACACTCCCAGCCCTTTTTGAGACACGGTCTCTAAGCCACTCAGGCTGGCCTTGAGCTTCTGATCCTTCTGCCTTAGCCTCCTGAGTAATTGGAATTAGAGGCCCTCCAGCTCCAGGAAGACCTTTCTGGCTGCTTGTGTTGGAGTGAGCATACAGAGGAAGTATCAGTAGGACCCGCTAAGCAATATGAGAGCCCAGCTCACAGTCCTAAGTACTGAGACTTCCACCAGTGTGCCCACCAGCCCAGAAGCCCGCTAGCATCCAGCACCTAATTCTCTGGAGCCTTACCCACCGTACACAGTTCATGCTTTACTGTGTTTGTTTCCCACACAGGCTGTGTGTCTTCCCGTCTCCATGTGCTTGCTCCCCAAGTGCTGGCTTCTCCCTTCTTGGTGCTTGGCATGCTTTCAGTCTACCCAGACTCCAAGGTCCTGTTCAAATGCCACTTCCCACAGAATGTCACTCTTCATTCCTCCAGACTGGAGCTTCTCTCCTCCAAACTCCTAGAACAATTTCTAA